TTTTATGTGCTGCCAAGTCAGCTTCAACTTATGGCAACCCTATGAATGAGAGACGTCCAAGTCACCCTGCCATCACCAGCCCTGCTGAGGTCTTGCAAACTCAAGGCTGTGGCTTCCTTGATTGAAGCTGCATCCGCACTGCAGAAATAATCCGGTTTGACACCAGGTTAACTGTTGTGGCTCAATGCTATGGAATTCTGGGAATGGTAGTTTGTTGTGGCACCAGAGAGGATTTCCATAGCATTGAGCCACGGCAGTTAACCTGGTGTCAAACCAGATTATTTCTGCAGTGCGGATGGGACGTGTGTCTATCCACCTGCAATGCTGTCATGCTCTTTCCCTATAGTTTCCCACTATACCAAGCACTACTGTTTTTTCCAATTAGTCTTGTCATCTCATGATATGCCCAAAGTACAATAGCCTTAATCTAGTCATTCTGGCTTCTAGGGGGAGCAGAGGAGAGTTTAAAACAGAGCATCGAAATGGAGAGGGGCTAGTGGAAGGAGTATGGGCTGAGAAAGACAGCATCCTAGGTCTAGCATGTTGTTGTTGTTATTATTATTATTATTATTATTATTATTATTATTATTATTATTATTATTTGTCCATGGTGAGCAGGTTGAGCACTTCTCCTACTCACCTGGGTTGCAGCATCTCCAGGCTCTCACTGAACTGGTTACGCAGGAAGCAGTTCAGCGCCGCTGTGCACTCAGCCAAAGCGATCTCCAGATTGCTGTTGCAAAAGGATAAGAGAGAAGGAAAGAAAGAGTTGAATTACTATAAATGAGGCATGAGTCTCCAAGACCTCTTGGAAGATCTAGCTGCTACACAACAAACCTGGAAGAAGTTACTTTTTCGAACTATGACTTCCAGAATCCCCTCATCAGCATAACTAAAGGCCACGTTGTCTAGGGAAACCTAGGGTGTGGAGTCCAACAAAAATCCCAACAAAAGGGATTTTTCTAGACCTTGCCACAGAGAAGCTATATCAAAGCAGCCAACCATCAAAGCATGAGTGGGAGGGTAACTAGTGGAGAAGAAGGCCTTGGACAACTTAGGTCAAAACTTGCATTTCTACTTCCAAGGTCCAGAGTCAGGTGACAACGTTTAGTGCCATCAATTTTAGATACTCATGATAATATGAATTATTTTATTTTATTGTTTTAGCTGTAAGCCACCGTGATTGCCACGGCAAAAGGCAGGGTATAAATATATTATTATTATTATTATTATTATTATTATTATTATTATTATTATTATTATTATTTAAAGCCATTCCAGCCATCTGACAGAGAAATTGCTCAGAGAGGTTTAAGATTCACCAGGAACTTCAAGGGATACTTCTTGAGGATGCCAGCATGTCCTCTTTTACAGAAGACAGTGCTGTATCTCTTTTTGAAGGTGTCTTCTATTTAGAGCAGGGGTAGGCAACCTTTCTGAGCCGGGGGCCAGGTTGCTGTCCCTCAGACAATTGAGGGGCCGAAGCACCAAAAATAAATAAATAAATAAATAATACAATTTTCAAAAAAATATGCATGCACACTCTCTCAGCCCCAGAAAAGCTATGGCAAAACCCCTGTGGAGATTTTGCCAAGAAAACCCTAAGAACAAGTAATAACAACAATAATCAATATCATCATGGCGGGTGGCGGTGGGCGGCGGCGGCAGCGGCAGGACTGGCCTGGGGCCAGTCCAAAGGCCTCAGGGGGCCACATCCGGCCCCCGGGCCTTAGGTTGCCTACCCCTGATTTAGAGTGTTGTCCAGCCAAATTTAAAGATAAAGAACCATATGGAGGAAACTTCAAAATCCTTGAAGTTGACAACCAACACTTGGCACCTGATGCTCTAATGTTCAGTGTGTCCCTGTGCCATTGATTTCCCTACTTGTGTGAGATGTGTACTGTAATTTAGATAATAAAAATATTGTATAATTTTGCATCCGCCTGTAACAAATTATCATGTACTATTTAATGCCAGCTGTTGTCCTGTTTTGACCATCCTGTGTTGCCAAAACAGACAGTCAATGTACAGGTAAAGGATATTGGTGAATGATTTTTTTTTCCAAACCCAAATAAAGGGATTGGGGGCTGTACTTTACTAGGACTGGCCCAGACTGCAACCTCAATATCATTAAGTAAGAAGAATGACACTAAAATGTAGATCAAGTTATGGATACTTCTACAAACTTATTTCCCTTTACCCATGTACCTATTGCCTAAGGGGTTCTTTTTTCAAGCACAACTGTAAGAATAATCGAGTTTGTTATTCACACTATGGAACCGCATCTCTGCAAGTTCTGGTGTTCACAAGTGCCACCACTTGAAAAACGTAGAGTCGATGACATGAATGTACTTGAAACATGTTCAAGGTATGCAGAGTTTTATCCCAGTTTATTCTAGGTCTATTCGCATCAGTTATTCACATTGCAGACAATGCAAATCTTTAAAAAAACTTGGGGGGGGAATGATATTGATTATCCTGGGTTAAGTGGGGGTTTTGGCACACATCCCCCAACTTAATCAAATGCATTCAAAATGCATCTAAACAACAAAGATTCAACCCATATTATTTTCACCATCTGAATAGACCCTAAATTTTGTTAAGTTTTGTTGGAACTAATCAGAACCAGACCACAAGACGCATTACGCTGAAAAACAAGCTGCTGGCTGAGGCTGTTCCCTAGAATGAGAGACAATATGCTTCTACAATTAAAGCAGAACTTGCTAAGACAGCTCTGTGCTTCTCTACAGGACACTATCTGTGGGATCAATGTCCCCAATAAATATTGTGTGCTCTCCTTCTAGCTGTTCTTCCAGGTTTCTGTGCAGCATAAACTCTTTTCTTTTCTCAAGAACTACCAATCCCAAAATTCATAATGCTGCACAGAGACCTGGGAAGAACAGCTAGGAGGAGAACACACAATAATTATTAGGGACATTGATCCCACAAATAGTGGACGACAGTGCTGCTGGTATGGGGATGCAGTGGCGTAGTGGTTAAGACGCCAATTCTGACAATCAGATTAGAGGGTTGGCAGATCAGAGGGTTGGCAGCCCAGGTGCTGCATGATGGGGTGAGCTCCTGTCCCTAGTCCCAGCTTCTGCCAACCTAGCAGTTCAAAAGCATGCAAATGCCAAGAAGATAAATAGGTACCACTTTGGTGGGAAGGTAACAGCGTTCTGTGCAATCATGCTGGCCACATGTCTTTGGACAACACTGGCTCTTTGGCTTAGAAATGGAGATGAGCATTGCCCCCTACGGTCGGTTACGACTAGATATTCATGCCAAGGGGCTACCTTTACCTTTAGTGCTGCTGGTAGGAATTAACAGGCACAAAAATGTATTGTGTAAATGTCTATTTCAGATATACACATGTGCCATGCTGTCATGCTGTGGCTATAAATACTAACCATGAGACCATATAATGGGATGGAGAAATGATATAGGGGGCATGTTTCAACGGTGAACTGCCTCCTCCCCAATATGAGACTAGGACCTTGCTTCTGTAATCTATCAGAACAGAGAAATGGAGACAGTCATGATGTCAGGTTGGGAGCCATGCTGAATCCCATATGTTGTTGGACTGCAACTCCCAGCATACTTCTCCAGGAGTATATATACTTCACCAGTTGCTAGCAATAGCAGCAACGGTGGCTGAGAGTTGAAAATCAGCAACATCTGAAGGACTGCACAACATCAGGATGACCATGCTGTAAGATCTGTAGGAACCCAGTCTGGCTGCCTCAGTAGTTCATTAGCATCTGGTTTAAGCAAACTCTACATGGGCAAGCCTACAGAAGTTAAATCCAAATAAGATTAAAGTAATGGATAGATGGATGGCCACGTGACTTGGGAAACAAGGGCATCTATTATAGATTTGACTTTAGCCCCCTCAATTCCTCGTGCTTATAATTTTGGAATATAGTGCACCACATTTTGTTTCACTGGACAGAGAAGCATTGTCGTCTCTGATATAGAGTAAGGAAAAATCATTTTTCCTGGTAATAAGCAATGGTCATACTGTGTTGGTCTGGAGGGGGGGGCTTGTATTACAAAACAGTACAAGCATACCTCAGCTAACAATGTAAATGTGTTATTTGGCATTACTTAACATAAAATTTGGTACCAAAGGCAAGAATAACAGGGACATAACAGAGGGAAGTTACTACACCACAAAAGACCATCTGAGCAAAACCTCTTTGGAGGTTTTTAAACAGAGGCAGGATGCCCATCTGTCGGAGGTGCTTTGACTGTGTATTCCTACATGGCAAGGGGTTGGACTGGATGGCCTTTGTGGTCTCTTCAACTTTTATGATAGATATGAAGAAGAACAGTCAGTCCTCTGTATCCATAGATTTTTTTATCTACGGATTCAAGTATCCATGCCTTGAAAATATTTTTAAGATGCATACATTCCAAAAAGTAAAACCTTGATTTTGCCATTTTATATAAGGGATGCAATTTTTCTATGCCATTGTATTTATTGATTTTAAATACCTTTTATTAACATAAAAACAACATGCAAACAATGTAGAACAATAAACATTTCCACACATATAAAGATACAATAACTATTTATGTTTTACATCTTTCATTGTTGCTTACAATAACTTTCCAACAAGTTTTGTCAGTGTTTCCCATTAACATTTTGTTCCTTCATAATATCCTCTTTTCCCTCGTTGTTCTATCTACTTGTAATTTTTCCTTTTATTTTAATCTTTTTATTTGTTTCTTTATTTACTTGTTTCTTTATATTCCCTTTCCAAGCTCTTCTCGGTCTTTTCTTTCATTGTTATCAATCCCTTAGTCTATCAGTCTTTCTTCATATTATTCCTTTTAGAAACTCTGCTCTGATGCCACCACAAACTACCATCCCCAGAATTCCAAAGCACTGAGCCATGGCAGTTAACGTGGTGTCAAACTGGATTATTTCTGAAGTTCCTTTGTAAATAGGAACTTCTTTGTCAGAGACTTTCTGCATGTTAACTGCACTATTGGGAGTCAGATGTGGCATAGTGGTTTGTGTGTTGGGCTACGACTCTGGAGACTGGGATTCGATTCCCCGCTCAGCCATGAAACCTACTAGGTGACCTTGGTTAGTAAGTCACACTGTCTCAGCCTCGGGGAAGGCAATGGCAAATCTCCTCTGAGCAAATATTGCCAAGAAAACCCCATGATAGGGTCACCCTAAGTTGGAAATGACTTGAAGGCACACAACAACAACAACAGCATACCTGTATGCATTGAAACTTTGGGTATTATACACCTCTATGGACACAAATCATTTACAACAGCATTTTCTGTGGCAAAGGCCACTTCCTCCATCAATGTTAGTGTAACCTCCACCCCACTCAAGGGGTGTCCTCCATTTCCACCTTCTGTCCAGGAGGAATTCCAAAATGTCCTCCCTGTGGAGCATGACTAAGAAGCATGAATGTATATTTCTAGGCATTCTGAGCTTTTATTCGGCCTGCCATGTTTTGGGAATGTCCTACATTTTGTGGTGCCTTGTCCTCCTTTGCGGTCAGGACACCTGGTCACGCTTCCCCATCCTCGGTGAACAATCTCTGGCTGTAAACTTTTTGTTTTTTTCCCTCCCCTCCAAGAAAGAAGGAATAATGAATTGGTGAGCAGAGTAATTCTCAAGTCTTGTGAGGTATCCTGCAAAGAGTTAACTATATTTACAGGAAAAGATAAATTTGCTCAATGACCTAAAACTATGCAGTCTCCCCTGGATCCCCCTCTCATGTTATCAGGGAAACGCCCCGGGACAAACACTCCTTTTTTCTATTTCCTGCTGAAGCAACAAGGGAAGGCCCTGAGTGTCTGTTTGTGCAAGGACCCTGCTGGCTGGTTACCTCCTATGCTTGCTCACCTCACCTTTGCCAGCAAGCACAGGGTTCCCAAGATGGCAAACACTAAGCAAACACAGGCTTGGCAGAGCCTTTGCCAGCACATCCACTCCACCCTTTTCAATCATTCCTGGGTCTCCTCAAGGGCAGGAATATAAGGTGATATTCCCTTGCTGGCACTTTGGGATCATGCAGACGTCAGACTTTTTTAGCACGACAATGTGAATCATCTCACTCACGCATTCCAGGTTGGCTATTCACACTATGGAACCGCATCAATGTGCGTCTGCAAATTCAGTTGCTCGCAAGTGCCAGCACCTGAATAAAGATGGAGTTGATGATGCAAATGCATTCGGAACATGTTCAAGACATGCAACGTTTTATCCCGGGTCTATTCAGGTCTATGCACATTGATTACTCACACTACTGACGATGCAGATCTTTAAAAAAAACAAAAACTTGGGGGGAATACCAGGTATCAATTATCCCAGATTAAGTTCCCCCCAACTTAATTGGGTGCATTTGGGATGCGTGTGAACAATGGGGACTCAACTCGGATTTATCCTGGGTTATTTTCACAGTGTGACTAACCCCTTCAGATGCACATCTGTTCTAGATCCCAGAAAATGCTGGCCCAGAAATAAGCGATGCTTCAAAATGTTACCTTTTTTTGGTCTGCAGCTCCAAGAAATCCCCAGGTATCATGGCCCAAATCTGGGAGTTGTAATTGAAATTGAAAATATTTATTTTTCCAAATTTTTGAAATAGAGTTTTTTTTCTCCGCAAGCTCTGGCTTCTCATAGGAAGATACTAACTGAGTGAGACCACCAATCTGTCTAGCTCAGGATTGGCAATGCCAGAGGTAGGCAACATGTTGCTATCTAGATATTGCTGAATGCAAGTCCCACCATCCTTCACTATGCTGGCTGGGGCTGATGGGAGGGAGGTCCATGCATCATCAGCATGAACGGATATTCTAACCGCAAAGGAGGACGAGGCACTGCAACATCAAGAAAAATGGAGGGCATGACCAAATAAAATCTAAAAACCCTAATATAAATGTAAATGCATGCTTCTTAGTCATGCTCAAAATGAAGGACATACCCTAGAAAAGAACAATCTGGTCACCCTGATGCATTCTTCACCTTCATCTATGTCAGAATTGGGCAAAATGTGGCCCTTCAGATATTACTGGGCTGCAGCTGCTCTAAGGTCTAGCCAGTATAGCCAATGATGGGGAATGTTGGGACTTGCAGTTAAACAATATTTGGAGAGCTTCACTTTGCCTATGCCCAATCTATACTTACTGGCAACAGCCCTTTAAACTTTTCCTCAGCCCTGTCTACTTTTGTGCCATGCCCTTCTTCCCATTAGAGAGAGATCCAGTTAAAGGAGAAGTGGGAATTGTGGTCCTCCAGATGTTACACTACAACTCCCAGCATCTGCCACCATTCAGCTATGCTGGCAAGGGCTCCTGCTCAGCAACATCTGGAGGGTTGCTTGATTCCCAGCAATAAAGTTATGTATCTGAAGTAAAGGGCGACAAACACTCTTGAAGTGCTGAACAACCCACAACCTGAAGGCCTGCACCTGGTCTGACCCTCATTTTAGGTAACAGGACTTGAGAAAGGCATCTGTCAGAAGAGAGACTTTGGAGTCAAATGACGAATATGTGGCCCTCCAGATATGCTGCAATGTGAGAACTAGAGTCACATAGCATCTGGAAGGCTACACTACTCCCAATCTCTGCCTTAGAGAGTTTCTGTCCGTCACAATAATGGTCATTGCAAACCATGGTTTTGCACTACAAGCTCTGTATACCTACCTAGCCAGGAACTTCCTGATCTAAGTGTAAGACGTCAGAAGGATCAATAACCAATGACTGACAATCCTGCATCCTTGATTTCAACCCAACATAGTCCAGGCACAAACTCTGTCATGGCGGCACAGTTTTTGATCAAAAGACCCATAGAAACTATGCTGATATGAAAAAGGGTTGTGTGCCTTCAAGTCGTTTCCAGTTTATAGTGACCCTAAGACATGGGGTTTTCTTGGTAAGATTTGTTCAGATGAAGTTTGCATTGCCTTCTTCTGAGGCTGAGAGCATGTGACTTGCCCAAGGTCATCCAGTGGGTTTCATGGCCTAGTAGGTGACTGAACCCTGGTCTCCAGAGCTCTAATCCAACACTCAATCCACTATGCCACACTGGCTTCGAATACCAGGTACTGAAGGCTATATTTCAGAATACCAGGTACAGAAAGCTATATATTTCCCGGGAACTAGGAAAACCACCTCTGAGAATTTCTTGCCTAAGAAAACCTCAAGAACAAGGGTTTCCAACCTCAAGAACAAGGGCTTTTACAGGATCGTGAGAGGAAACCAGGGGTGAGGATTCACTTGCTATGCTCTGTCTATGAGATTCCCAGCAGCTGACTATCAAATATAGCAGGGCTGGGGAACCTGTATGATCCTCCCAGTGTTGTTGGACTGTGACACCCATCACTCCGCCAACACTGACTGTGCTGTCAGAGGCTGATGGGGGTGGCAACTCAACAACATCTGAACATCACACATTTTTTATGCTTGAGTTAAAGCCTCGTAAATTTTGAAGCGACACCAGAATTGTAATTTAAAACAGAAATTAATTGCTTAAAGCCATGGGTGTGTGTGTGTGTGAAAGTTACTCAAGGGGGGACAGAAACTTGGGGGCCTTGACTTTCTCTCACACATGGTTATTCAGATGGTGTAAATAACCCCGGTAGAATGTGGGTTGAATCTGTGTTGTTCACATGAATTTCAAATGCATCTGATTAAGTATTTTTGAGAGATACAAAAAAAACCACAGAACCTGGAATAATCCATCTCAGGGTCGTCGTCCCCCGAGTTTTCCTAAAAGATTTGCATTGTCACCTGTGTGAATAACCGATGTGAATAGACCCAGGATGAACAGGGATAAAAATCTGCATGCTTTGAGTGTGGTTCGAACATATCCGTAGCACTGACTCCATCTTTATTTGCAGTGCTGACATGTGTGAGTAACCGAATGTGCAGAGATGCAATTCCGATTTATCTTGGCTTATCCCTGGCCTATTCGCATTAGTTATTCACACAGTCGATAATGCAAATCTTTTAGGAAAACTCGGGAGGGAAACCCAAGTTTGATTATCCTGGGTTAAGTGTACCCCAAAAGACTTACTCAAGTGCATCTGAAATTCATGTCAAAAACAAAGATTCAACCCACATTCTATTGGGATTATTTCCACCGGCTGAATAACCACTACGACTCTCCTCTGGGTTGAATCTTCGTTGTTCACATATCGAATGCACCCAAGTAAGTTTTTTGGGGGGTCACCAAAATAAAAACACTCAACCCAGGATAATCAATCTTGGGTCCCCCTCACCATATTTTCCTTAAAAAAATTGCATTGACAGCTGTGTGAAAGAGAAGGGAAAGGAACTAAACTGAGGGCAGTTTTAAGGATATGACCAAGTAGGACCCCCCCCCCCAAAAAAATTTTTTTAAATACAGTCAGACCTCCATTCTCACAGACTTGAAATCCGTGGACTTAAATATTCAAGGAGGGGTGACCTCCTATAACTTCAGTGGCGAATGTGCCTGTGGCACGCACCCCATTCAAGCATATGGGGCTTGAATATCAGCGAGTCTCCATTTTTGTGGGAGGGACGACTGTATAATTTCCAATAAGCAAACTTTGATTTTGCCATTTTATATAAGGGACACCATTTTACTATGCCATTGTATTTAGTGGGATTTGAGCATCCATGAATTTGGGTATCTATTGATCTATTGGGGGTCCTGGAACCAAACCCCAGCAGATACCAAGGGCCCACTGTTATACACATACAGAATGCAAACTCTGCACAACTACTACTTTTAAGCCCTGGCTGCCATCCCCAGAATGGACCCACTGCTAACCAACCACCTTTCCCTCCCTACCATTAGGCCGGGTGAGGCAGCTGCCAGCTGCTTTGGGGTGGCAAGATAAGGGCAGCAACAGGTTAGTCATGTCGTCTATTACTTTTGCAGTTTTTATTTTGCTTCCTGCTAGGGATTGAGAAAAGGCGCTTGTGGGATAG